ATCCACTCACCTCAGCCTCCCAAAGGCACGGGATTACAGGCTGAGGCACCAAGCCCAGCTCTTGCTTCCATTTTCAAATCTGACAAGCAGTTGGTATATGCACATGTCTCTCTGTGCCCTTGTTTTCTGACCTTACCCAAAGGAAGAGTGTTTTTTCCTCATAGAACCTCACAAAATATTAGAATGCCAGATATTTACATTCTAGGAACGCGAAGAGGAGAAAAATTATTCTTCACGGGATACATGTCAAGAACAAGTATAAAGAACATTTTTTGAAAGATCTTAAACACATCAGTTTTATTGTTTCTATTTATTTATTTGCAACTGAAAATTGAAAAAAAACAGCACATCAAAATTTCCTTTTGCAAAATTAAAATTTTTGAAAACTAGAAACTCTAATTATTATGCTTTCCCCGGAAGTTACTTTGCTTCAAATTTTTGATGTGTTTCTCACTGACTTTTCAGGCTTCTGCAACACAGGGAAATACTTAGGACCTTGGATGCTTCTTTGGTCAAATAAAAAATCAGAGTGTATTGAAATTATTCAAACTATGCAAATCCTTTATAAATTACTGGCATCAAGTTAGGAAGGAAAAGATAGAAGAAAAAGAATGTTAACAACTCATTATCAAGATCACTGGTACAGTCTATCCTAGCATAGAGTACCATTCTTAACCTACTGCATAAAATTACCAGCAAGAAAGCACAAGAATAAGATTTATGGCGAAGTCAGCTCAGTATCATAATTCCCTATTCTGGCGTTCTCAGAAGGATCCCAGCGGTAGGACACACAGAAACTGCAGCCACACTTGAATGGTTGACTTCTTGGTTCATTCTGGGGGGGGGGGGAGAGTAAAAAATGAAGTGGATTAATTGGGATATTGCATCTGAAATAAATGCAACCTGAAATCAAATGTTTACTAAGATAAACTTTGGAGCCGGGCTCAGTGGCTCAGCCTGTAATCCCAGGCTTGGGAGGCTGAGGCGAGTGGATTGCCTGAGCCCGCGGGTTCGAGACCTACCTGGGCAACTTGGCGAGACCTCATCTCTACAATAAATCAAAAATAAGCCGAGTGTGGTTGCGCGTGTCTGTAGTTCCAGCTACTCGGAAGGCCGAGGTGGAAGGATCGCCGGAGCCCAGCAGGTCGAGGCTGCAGTGGCTGTGAGCATGCCACTACACTCAGCCTGGGCAACAGAGTGAGACTACAACTCAAAAAAAAAAAAGGTAAAATGCTCGAGGAGGAAAAAAAAAAAGGTACCGAAGAATGGCAGCTTGCAGGTCATTTTGTAATGGTGATGGAGACGGTCAATATGCAATATTTATCTATGCCCTTGTTCTCGAACCTTACCCAGATGAATAGTGCTTCTTCCCAGTAGGACAGGAGTAAATAAACATAAAGCAAAACCATATTCTTGTCTGTTAAATGTGAGTAACTCATTCTGTTTCTGGACACAGCTCAAGTGTGTGTACTTTCTCTGCATGGCACTATTGTCAAGATGTTTGTGACAGCACTTGAAAAAGTATAATCGCAGCACCAGGAGTGACCTAAGTTAAGCTTTGAACAAGGGACGATGTGTCATTGTGGGTTCATCAGTGACAACAAATGCCACTCTGGTGTGCAGCTGTGGATTGTGTGAGGCTGAGTGGGTTATGGGGTAGGAGACACCTGGGAACACTACTTTCCGCTCGATTTTGTTGTCAACATAAAACTGCTCTTTGGTGGCTCAGCCTGTAATTCCAACACTTTGGGAGGTCGAGACGGGTGGATGGCCTGAGCCCAGCAGGTTGACACTGGGGGGTGTGTGTGCCACTGCACTCCAGTCTGAGTGTGCCACTGCACTCCAGCCTGGGCAACAGAGTGAAACTCCGACTCAAAAAAATAAAAAATACTCTAAAATTTAAAGAATATAGCCGGGCTCGGTGGCCCAGCCTGTAATCCCAGCACTTTGGGAGGTCAAATCAAGTGAATTGCCTGAGCCTGCAGGTTCAAGACCAACGTAGACAACTTGGCGAGACCTGTCTCTACAATAAATCAAAAACTAGCCAGACATGGTAGCGCATGCCTGTAGTTCCGGCTACTTGGAAGACTGAGGTGGCTGTGAGTATGCCACAGCACCCCAGCCTGGGCAACAGAGTAAGACTCCCAACTCAAAAAATAATTTAAAAATTAAAATTAAGGAATAGACCCGCCCGGGCAACTTGGCGAGACCTCATCTCTACAATAAATCAAAAAATTAGCTGGGCGT